CTTATATTCCTCTCATGCTTATAAACATTTGACATAAGTCATAAAAGAACTACAAGGGAAATGAAAATAAAATTCCATAGTAACATGTCTGCATTTATTTACTTTGAATCAACATTCTTTTCTTAATCACAAGGCAACACACAATAAAGTTAACACTGGTGAAAAATCAGATCTTACCTATATACAATGAAAATCATTCAGCAGAAATAAAAACACACTGAAAACAGCCTTTTGCATTTCTACATTTTTATCATACAAAATACATTTAAAAGGAAGCTTACAGAACAAAAATATCATATATACTTGTATGCACTACAAAAAAAGAAAAAAAAAATCAACCAAGCATTCTGTGACATAATGATTTATACCATGTTTACATTATGCATATAAAAGAAAAAAAGGATTAAAATACAAAACAGATGATCTTCAATTCAAACCAGTGACTTTAAATTCAATAAATATGTCGGCCATGATCACAAATTTCATTACAAAGTTATCATTTCTTCACAAACAATCTATGTGGCACCTCAGTTACCTGTCCTTGCTGTGCAAAAAGTAACTGTCATCTCTTTCCGTACAATAAAAAAAAAACTTCAAAGTGGCACCTACTCTGCAGTGTCAGAAACCACAAATAAATATCTCAATAACTTATGTCACTACTCAAAATTAAGTCACTGAGGCCTGTATCATCCCCACCAAGGAGTACCTGGCACTGATCAAGAATTTTTTTTTCATTTATCTGGGCAAACTGGCAAACATAAAAAATGGTATAAAAAAAGGCCTCAAAACCTAGTAGTAATCATAATAATAATGAATCATAATTCATAATAATCAAAAACAATAATTGAAGCATAAATAATTATAATTATAATAATAATAGCAGCCAGCATCTGCTATACAGAACCATGAAAGTAAAGCTACATAATAGCTTCTGCACCACACAAGTTAATATAGAGTTAACTATGGTCACATTGTACACCTGAACCAGTATACAAGCATGTGATGATGCTAATCGTGCATATGATACTGTACAGGTGATAGTACCCGAATACTAAAGGTGTTCTCATTTCTCAGATGGCTTCCTAACCTGGGTCAAAATCTGTCAAACTACCTCTGCCACTACCTACCACAGCCCGGCAAAATGACAGTATTCAAAGCCGAAGTTAGCATCCAAACCTCTTTGAAACCAAATAACAGCCCTTGTGGGGTACCCTAAATGCTAGAATATTCACCCTTCCAGAAAATGTATGATATATACACAAAGCATGCAAACTTGAGAACTTGGGATTTTGGGTGGGGCTTCACGGGAGTTTTTGCCCAATGTTGATTATGTGTTTACATAAAAAAGTTTTCTTTTCCTATGCACTTACTGTAAAAATATTTGAGGTATGCAACAAAAACTTTGTATGCCAAGCAATGCAAATTTTGGACTAAATGAGATGCAGAAAATGACATCTTATTATTAGCCATTGAAATTATGACCAACAGATCCCTATGGAATGTACTGTAATTTAATTAAGTACAAGAAAATAAAAATGTATAAAAATAAACATATTAGTCATGTTAATTAAAGTTATTGGCTGAAGTTTCAATGATGATCAGAATAAAATGTTTAATAATAATAACAAGATAACAATAATAGTATTAATGATGATTTATGATAATAATAACAATAATAATGATTACAATAAATAATAATAATAATAATAATAATAACAATTAATAATAATAATACCCCTATTAATCATAAAATAAATGTCAATAATTACACCATAAACCAATTCATCCACTTTCTTCTCTCCTTCTGATATCAGGATAGTCTATGGAATCTTACAATATATGAACTATGCCATATGTTAAAACTCTGAACATCTATACAATAAATAAATAACACTATTAACCATATATTACACTACAGTAATGTTCAACTAGAGGTCATGGAATGTGTTTAGAGTGCTACAGCATCAACTGTTTACAACACACTAGAACCAAAGTTAAAAACAGTTATACACACAGTAACTGCTCTTTGCTGCTTCGTGCTGCACAAAGTAAATATACAATGGTGCTGTCTTAGGTGACTGTGACTGGTCCTAAATACAGGAATGCTATTTATCACTGGAATATGCTCATGGAATGTATATATCATATAGTATTTCCTTTTTATCTTTCCTTGAGTCGCCCAAAGTGGGTGTCCATGCAACTCTTATGAGGAGGTTTTTACCGGTTTAAAAAATTACATGTATAAACAAAAATACTTTTTTTTAATTCTAAGGCTGCAGTAGGATATATTTTGGGGGGTTTAATACCAATATTTTCTTTTGTTGGGGTGAGTTAATCCTGTTTCTGGACACAGAGAAAGAGAAATCTATATAATACAAACAAATGTCAAGCATCGGAAAGCCCACCCATACAACCATCCATACTGCCAGATATGTCTCAACCAAAAGTCAAACTGATTAAAGCAAGGCTGTAATAACCAGAACTAATTCACTTCTTTTTCTTTCCTCTTCATTACATTACATGTACAACAAAAGCCATAGTACAAATGTAACCATTCTGAAAGCCTTCAGGAAGTACTGCATGTAAATGCTATTGAGCTACTATCTGGTTTTTAAATTTTGGAAAATACCTGAAACTCTTAACAAGTTTCAAAATCCAGCCCTTGGTGGCCCTGACTCAGCATGGATCTGGAAAAAAAGGCTGTCCCACCCTGAGTTCCTTGCCTTTAAGCAGTCTCAGCCATCAAAACAGACCATGCAACAGGGCCGGACTCCATCCCAGACTTCACACACTTACTGGGAAACCCTTTGTTTCTTATCTCCTCTCCCTACAACCTCAGCATCTCAAACAACCATGCTGGATTGACTTGGAAAGGACAAAGTAAAAGCCTTTATTTTTCCATCAGGTTGTTTCATTCTCATGTGTGTGGAGTTGGTGACTGGGGGTTCTTTTAGACCTTCTTCAACATAACGAGGTTGAGAGATTCTGGAAGCTCAATATCTTCCAAGTGATACATGGATGGGTTGAATGGGAACCGGACAGGGAAGGCAAATTTGGTGTTCATCAATAGTGTTGCCTGAAAAAGATGGAAAAAAAATAAATTAGTAGATATTACTCTTGGCAGTGCATGTTCATCCTCAAAACAATATTGTGTATGGGTGATACAGTATCACATTTCAATGAAATTCCACAAAATAGGCACTTGTGTTCTGTATAGATGCAAACACCTCCACTTCATTGTTCCTTTACCTCTTGCAAACACTTTTGACAAATATAAACATGAAAAAAATCACCATTCATCAATAACATATCTTTCTTACCAATCCTCATCTCACTGACACATCAAAGCACAGTCTCAAAATACACAAACTGCTACAACGTAAAACACACCCACCCGACACTTTAAATCAATCGCATAACTTACCTGCGCTTGTTCACCCTCCGCTCGTTCCTGCAACTTATTCTGGATCTTGTGGATGAAGGAGATAGGGACTCTCTCTTCAAATTCATCGCCGGAGTGTACAGGTTCAAAATCTTGATGATCTGTTGCAGAATGGCAAGAAATTGTTTAGGACCACAAGTCTACTGAGAGAATTTGCATATAATTTGCATGTGGTTTCAAATGATAGCATAGCAAATAACTTATGTGACTAATACCTATATTTTTCACATATTATAAAATGTTCTTCTAAAACAATGAAACAATAAGTCATACACCATTTTTTTATTAAGTGAAAATTAATGATGATAACAATAAGAAATGAATAATAATCAAAATGAAAACAATAATAATCATGATAATAATAATAGAAATTATATTCATTTATCATAATTATTGTTACCATCACCATCAATCATAACAAAAACCGCAACATCGATATCCGAAGAGGCAGCGCCCGGCCTCCTGCCCCCGCGGCCGGGCACCCACCTGCGAGACGGACAGCTTGTCGCACATGTCGCAGATGGAGTTCACGTCGTCGTCCGTCTTGCGCGCCTGCAGCAGCTGCGCCGCCTGGATGATGGGCGCCAGCGTGTCCGTGACGCCCGCCTCGTGCAGCCGCATGTCGCGCGTCCACTGCTCCAGGTGGCTCAGGTTGTAGCGGATCTGCATGCCCTTGGACCAGTGGCACATGTCCTTGCGCAGCAGCAGGTTGTTCAGGGACCCCGCGCAGATGAAGTAGAAGATCTGGAACAAAGGGGGAACGGGCTGGGTTTTGCTTCTTCGAGATGAGAAAAGGGTCACGACAAAGCTATCTAACCAAATTAACCTTTTAGGGTTCTAAACATACAATCTGTGCAATGCTAACACACACACACACACACCACACACACACAACACACACACACACACACACACACACACACACACACACACACACACACACAACACACACACACACACACACACACACACACACGCTCATACTCAACACGCACTCATACTCACACGCACTCATACTCACACGCACTCATACTCACACGCACTCCATACTCACACGCACTCATACTCACACCACTCATACTCACACACCACTCATACTCACACGCACTCATACTCACACGCATCATCATACTCACGCACTCATACTCACACGCACTCATACTCACACGCACTCATACTCACACGCACTCATACTCACACCACTCATACTCACACGCACTCATACTCACACTCATACTCATACTACACACACACACACACACACACACACACCACACACACAACACACACACACACACACACAACAACACACACACGCTCATACTCACACAACCACACACACACACACACACACACACACATACACACACCACACACACACACACAACACACACCACACACACACACATCACACACACAACACACTCTTCGCACATAGAGTTTTATTTCACCTGTCCTAACAACAAGAGACTTCCACCCACAGGACGAGAGCCTCCCTCCCCCTCCCACGCCCGCCCACGCCCGCCCACGCCCGCCACGAGTCTTACCTGTCTGAACACCTGCGTGATGAGCTCGGGGTCGGTGCCGAACATGGCGAGCGTGCGGTAGAACTGCGTCATCTCCTTCAAGAGCAGGTCGAGGGCCTTCTGGGGCTCGACCGGCGACTCCAGCTCAACGGGCCACGCTTCCGGCACGACCTGGCCATCGCAAAGGGATTAGATGGACATCGTACAATGGATGCTTGCAACGATCAAGGTATGTACATGTGCCTAATCACAATGGCTTTACCGTGAACTGCATTTCTCTGTCTATTTGTGATATTTTCATTCCTTATCGTCTTCATTTAATCATATGCATTTTTTGTAACGTCTTTGAAATACGTATCCCATGAACTCATTAACCTCCCTTCCTTCCTTCCTCCCTCTTTCCACCATCCATTCCTCCATCCTTCTCTCACTCCTCCCTGTCCCTCCATCTTCCCTATCCCTCCCTCCCTCCCTCCCTCCCTCCTCCTCCCTCCCTTCCCTTCCTGTCCCTCCCTTCCGTTCCATTCCGTTCCCTTCCCTGTCCCTCCCTGTCCATCCACCTCCCCCTCTCACCTTCCCTGTTCCTTCCATATCCATATCCCTTCCTTTCCCCTCCCTCCTGCCCTCCCTACCTCATCCACCTTCCCTATCCCTCCCTCCTACCCTACCCCTTCCCCTTCCCCTTCCCACCTTTCCCCTCCTCCCACCTTCCCCTCCCTCTCCCCCCCTCCCTCCACCTTCCCTCCCCCTCCCCCTCCCACCTTCCCTCCCCCTCCCCTCCCCGTCCCCCTCCCACCTTCCCTTCCCCTCCCTGCCCATCCACCTCCACCTCCCCCTCCCACCTTCCCTATCCCTCCCACCTTCCCTATCCCTTCCCCTCCCTTCCTACTCTTCCCCCTTCCCTGTTCCTTCCCTTCCCTTCCTTGTCCCTCCCTTCCTTCCCCTCACTACCCCACCTCCCCTCCCCTTCCCCTTCCCTTCCCTTCCCTTCCCTTCCCTTCCCTTCCTTCCCTTCCTTCCCTTCCTTTCCCTTCCTTCCTTTCCTTCCTTTCCCTTCCCTTCCTTTCCCTTCCCTTCCTTTCCCTTCCTTTCCCTTCCCTTCCTTTCCCTTCCCTTCACTCACCTCTCATCCCGCCCGGCTTGTTGCCCGAGAGACCGGCGATGGCTTCGTGCTCGAGTATTGACGGCACGATCAGCGGCTGGACCTTCTCCTCCATCAGTTTTATGACACCCTGTGGGGGGGGGAGGGGGAGAGGGATGACCTTAGTGTGCAATTATAGCTTGATCTGGATTAAAAAAAAATTCTCATTTTCTTTTATCCAGAGTTTGCCGATGGCCATTAAGAGCTTGTCATATTGGCATTACGTTATATATTCAGAAAATATTGTGTTGTGATTATGGAGAGAGAGAGAGAGAGAGAGAGAGAGAGAGAGAGAGAGAGAGAGAGAGAGAGAGAGGAGAGGGAGAGGGAGAGGGAGAGGGAGAGGGAGAGGGAGAGGGAGAGGGGAGGGAGAGGGGAGTGGGAGTGGGAGTGGGAGTGGGAGTGGGAGTGGAGGAGTGGGAGTGGGAGTGGGAGTGGGAGTGGGAGAGAGTGAGAGTGAGAGTGAGAGTGAGAGTGAGAAAGAGAGAGAGAGAGAGAGAGAGAGAGAGAGAGGAGAGAGAGAGAGAGAGAGAGAGAGAGAGAGAAGAGAGTGAGAGTGAGAGTGAGAGTGAGAGTGAGAGAGATAGAGAATAGAGATAGAGAGAGAGAGAGAGAGAGAGGGAGAGGGAGGGAGAGGGAGAGGGAGAGGGAGAGGGAGAGGAGGAGAGGGGAGGGGAGGGAGAGTGGGAGTGGAGAGAAGTGAGGAGTGAGAGTGAGAGTGAGAAAGAGAGAGAGAGAGAGAGAGTGGAGAGAGAGAGAGAGAGAGAGTGAGAGTGAGAGTGAGAGAGATAGAGATTAGAGATAGAGATAGAGATAGAATAGAGATAGAGATAGAGATAGAGATAGAGATAGAGATAGATATATATATATATATATATTATATATTATATATATTTAATATTATATATATAGAGAGAAGAGAGAGAGAGAGAGAAGAGAGAGAG